TATATATATATATATATATATCTTATTCAAACTTAGAAGTGATTTTCAAGTTAATATTTGTGAAAAGATAATTTAATTTATCAAATATCTCATATTTAATTAACCATTAAAATAATAAATTTCATAAATTATTTATTAGTTGTTCAATATTTTTTATTTAATCCACAATTAAGATGTATTAATTTCACTAACACAAAAAAAATGTAACATATATATATATATATATATATTTTAATTTTTAGCTTTCTAGGATTAACATAAAACTTTTTTATTATAAAATAATTTAAAAGATAGAGAAATAAAAATAATATAGTTTATTAAGGTATTTTTTCCTTTTTAACATTTCTAAATGTAATTACATGTCATTATAATTTTATTTTTCTATTTTTATTGAAAGTAAAATTATAAAATTTTGGAGTATGCATGACTTTGTGTGAATTTTTATTTCAATTTTTGTCTTGTAGATTGTGACGGTTTACTACAAACTGCCTCAATATAAATAAATTTTGTGGTAGTTATTTGACTCCGTCGCACGAAGTATTGGGAAAAACTCAAGTCCCACATTGACTATAGATTATGCAATTAAATAGTATATAAGTGGAAAGCAACCCTCATCTTATAAGTCGATTTTGTAGAGTTGAGTTAGACTTAAATCCACTATTCTAAGATAATATCAAAGCTATCCTAGATTCTTAAAAATGGGCCACCTACCATTCATTGATACACCATTCATTGATACATACACGCACCATGGGCATGAGGGGGTGTTTTCAAGTCCTGCCATTAAAAAAGGGTCACTTACCATTCAATGATACATGCATCATGGGCATGAGGGGGTGTATTCAAGTCCCGCCAATCCTATATCATTGAAAAAGGTCACCTATCATTTATTCACGTACCAAGCCCAATAGTGCTGGACGTGAGGGGGTTGTATTGAGAAAAATTCAAGTCCCTCATCGACTAGAGATTAGGCAATTAAATATTATATAAGTGGAAAACAACCCTCACCTTACAAGCCAGTTTTGTAGGGTTGAGTTATGCTTAAATCCATTATTCTAAGACGAACTGTCGCAATGTTGGAAAATTTTGCGACGGTTGGGAGAAACCGTCGTATGAAGGATCGCAATATCAAAGCAACGACGATTTCAGGATAACTTTCACAATTTTTCCATCGTAATTCATCATTTTCCTTGTAGTGGGTCATGTGTACTTATCTTTTTTTATCTATACAGATTACAATTACAACAATAAAAGTCGATTTGACTAAATTATTGATTGAAATAATGGTGCAATTAATCATTATAAGTATTGACTTATTATAACTAATTTTTATTATATTTGAAACTCCTTCAAATAAAGAGTATTGTAATTTAAAATATTGTCTAATATTTTTTTCAAGACCTAAATATAAGGAAAAAAAAATCATGAATACGAGCCTAATATTCTTAATTAATTTTATCATATTTAATATTATTATTTTTAAAATGTCATTTATGTAATTAAAATTTTATTTTTCAACAACTATTTTTTAATTCTTAATTTTCAATGAAGGGTAGTATAGGAAAGATATTTTAATTGAGATTAATAAAATTGAATGATATTGATTAATTTTCTTAATTAACTAAAAAGTTAGTTAATTTTTCTTATAATTGAGTCCACGGGAATAATAATAGGTATATTTTTAGTCCATACAAATTGAGCAAGTTTTCATTTTAATATATGTAAAATAATTTGTTGGTTTTTCATCTTTTTAAAATTCATAAACATTATTTTTGACATTTGTAAAATGAGTAAATATTAGTTTTGGTCCATGTAAAATTTTTTCTTTAATTTTCATCACTTTAAATGACTAAACTTACTATTTTTTATCTAAAATTTTAAGGTCGATAATAATATTTATTTTTAAAATTTATAAATTCTTTTAGAAGTATCACATACTAACACAATAACACTAAAGAATTTGAGAAAAATTTAAGATGATTATAATTAACCTTTTTAACAATAAACATGTAAGTTAAAAATTATCATACAATATTAAAAACAAAAAATAATAGTTTCAAATTTTAGAGAATAATATATATATATATATATATATTATTTTTTTTTACAGAAATCAAAATCTAAACTTGTTTATTTTACATATAATAAAAGTATATTGAAGCCAATAAACATAAACTAATAACACTCCTGATTTTTTTTGTCAAATATTCTATTAATAAAAAATATTTACCAAATTTATTGATAATTATTTTGACCCATCATTTCTAGTGATAAACTTCTCTTCCAACCATATTTTTGCATTCATGAGATTTAAATTCCAATATCTTAAATCTTAATTACTTATAAATACTAAGTTAAATATGGATATATCAACAATTTAATGTATAACAATATTCTTAATTTGGGTCATATAAAAGGTTACACCATAAAAATTAAATATTTATTTATTTATTTATTTTAGCCCGGTAAAACTCTTAATGTAAGCTCTTTATGCGGCTAAAAAAAAATCACATAATTTATAAGAGTGAGGTCCTTTAACTCTACAAAGTGAGAATGATGAAAATCCAGTTTCACCTTCTCAAGTAGTAGAATCCCACTAGTTTCCCTAACTCCTTTCATGGCTTCATTATTAGATGGTAACCAACACCCCATTTTTCCTCTCTTTTTCTTTTATAAACAAATTCTAATACCAAAAAAAAAAAAAAAAAAAACTCTCTCTCTCTCTCTCTCTCTAGAGAGTGTCCCTATACGCATAAACACATGCAGCCGCACTTGTATAAATGCCTAGACACCTTAGCTTGCACAACAACACAAGAGACAGCAACAAAGAGAACTCTCTCTCTCTCTCTTTGTCTCTCCTCGTACCCTGTTTCGTGCGAGAGACAGAGAAAGAGTTTAAGAAATGGGTGTGCGCGTTCAATGTTGTTCTTCTTTCTTCTTCTTCTTCTTTTTCCTTTTTCTCGGGTTAGCTTCGAAAGTGAGAGGAAACGGGTCGGGTTGGGATTCGAAGCAGTGCGATTGGTTCACGGGAACATGGGTGGTGGATGAATCGTACCCGCTCTATCAGCCGGACACGTGTCCCTTCATCGAGCGCGAGTTCAGGTGCCAAGGGAATGGACGCCCTGATCTGATTTACACCCACTATAGATGGCACCCACTTGCCTGCAATTTGCTCAGGTTACTACTTTCTTCTCTCTCATCACTTATCAATTATCATTACTCTCTCCCTTTTCAAAGGAATTATTTAAAATTTAACTCAATTTATAAGATAAAAATTATCCTTTATTTATATATATTTTTTAATTATCCTATTTTTAATAATGTGAGATTTTAATTTTTTTTTTCAATAATAACAATTACAGTAATTAAATTAAATATTATTACTCTTTACTCTTTTCTTTTCAATTAAAATAAAATAACCTTATGCTTTTCCATTTCTGGCAAGGCTCGGTTTCTTGTTTAGTCTTCATCACCATGTCTAATGTCTATGTGAGTTATGTATATAAATATGATGACTCAAAATTTGAATTTTATTTTTATATTGTTTATCAATTAAAAATTAAATTACTTATATTTTATGTTTTATTGTCTGGTTTTGTATTTAATTACAAAACTATCACGTTATTTTTCGTTTTTTGCTTGTAAAGATTTGTATAGAAAAATAGAAAAAGTATCGGTTGCATTGAATAGAGTTGTTTTTGAAGTTTTTTTTAGAAAGCATAATTTTTTATAATTTTTTTTTACAATTAATTAAAAAGAACTATTTTTTTGTTATAACATGTTTTTATGGGAACAATTTTATGCGAATCGTGGGTTAAAAATTTGTTTTTAGAAAACACTATTTCTTAGAGATAATATTTTTAATTATTAAATCAAATGGGAAATCAAATTTCTTAAGTTCAGAATAAATATAAAAAAAAAAAAAAAAAACAATAACGCTTCCTACAATTTAAGATGACTCCGGTAACCGATTTATTTTTATGAGCATTTATTATTACTTTTCAATTTAAGTAGTAACTACTAAAAATGCATTAAATATTACTTATATGCTTGGTAAGCTTTTAAATGTATTATAAAACAATTTCCTATTCGTTAAAAAAATGTATTATAAAACGACTATTAAAGAATAAAAAGAGAGACTATTATTGAGTAGTAGTGGTAGTAATTCATATTCATGAAAATACAACACATAAAAAAAATATTCTTAAAAGTACTGTGATCAAATATTTTTTTATTCTCTCAAATAACTCAACAATTTTATTTCTACAAATTACTTAACTACTTAATTTTTCTCTTCATTGTTGGGGAAATGTTATAAGCTCTTGTGACCTTTTTTGGAATGATACCACCATCCAGCCTGTAAAATATTATTTAAAAAAAAAAATCAAAAAGACATTAGCGGGGAATTACAGTTCCGAATGTTTGGCTTGGTTCAGAAAACGCGGCTTCACGTGCACCCGTAAAAGCACTTCAGCAGGTGCTTAGAGAAAAGTGCTTTTCAACATGGTAGTTATGAACAAACAAAAATCCAACATTTCATTAGATTTAGATTTTCATATCTTTAACCATTTTTCTTAAAAAATTGTGTCGGAAACTCTTTAATTTTTTCTCTTTTCCTTTTTCACCCTTAACTTTACAAACTAGCTCCTTTTCTCTCTCTCTCTCTCTTTTTTTTTTCTTCTATTATAAATTTTAATTATTTTTGTCTCATTTAATTATACTCTTCTCAAAATATCTCTATAAGCCTTCAGTTATACTATTTCTTTTAAACATTTTTTACAAAGACAATTTTTAAAAAAATATTATAAAATGAATAAAATTTAATTACTAATTTTTTACATGCATAAAATTAGTTTTTTTTTTTTAATAAAGAATAGTGAACACTGATCTTTGCTTTTCGAGAGAACGAAGAAGACAACTTGAACTGGAAAGTGAAGTCAGCGACAAATTATAGCAGTAAATGGCGTTTCGTACATACGTAGTTGTTTCATTAACTTTTTTCTGAAAAGTGATGCCAGTTAAAGTTATTATACAATAATGACAGTTCGTATTCAATTGTCTCATTTAATTTTTTGAAGTTTTCAATTTTATTTTTAATTATGAATGTTTGAATTTGAATGCAGATTTGATGGGGTTGATTTTTTGGAGAAGATGAGAGGGAAGAGCATCATGTTCGTGGGAGATTCACTGAGCAGGAACCAATGGCAGTCCTTGACTTGCTTGCTTCATTCAGCAGTGCCCAATTCCAATTATACTTTGGTTAGAGTTGGAGATGTTTCTATTTTCACATTTACGGTATGATTTATCCTTTTGATTACATGTTATATATTTATATGTAATTTAATGTATAATGAGCAAACCATTTCAAAAATGGTACTCCTATGACTTTGAAAAATGCTAATAACATTTTTTTTTAATAATTTTTATTATAGAATTGTGTAGCTCTTACATTTTTTTTAACTAAATCTTACTCATAAATTTATATTTTTTTAACAAATTTATAATTATTTTAAAATTTAACAAAATTATGATCAATATATAACAATTATAACTAGATGACCGTATATCACTTATTTATATGTAATGTATTACTATATATTTTAAAACAAACTTGTATTACTTAAATTAGGATGATAAAATTCTAATTCTAATGGAAGAAAATACAATTATAATACTAAAATATCTTTTAACTAATGTATTCTTTAATAATCACTAAACTTGATCTCATGGTAGGTGATTGAACTAGAATGTAAAAAAATTTAAATTTGGACTTTAGTGTTGTAATTTTGATAAATAAAAAAAAAGAGTTTTTTTTGTGGTCATACACATCATTAATTTTATCTGACTTCCAAATTAAAAGTGGGGAAAGAAGATTCTTTTGCCCTCCAAAAAAGAGAAGGTGGTGAAAGAAATTGTTTGTATAGTGACAACATAAGGTATGGACAACGTGGGGTAAGGTGCAAATATGCCATGGTTATTGGTTAGGTCACAATTGGTCCCTTTACTTGTCCATATTCATAAGTCACTTGAGGAAATGCTTAGCTTCCGTATTGCTTCCATTTTTTGACATTGGTTAAGTCATGACGTGTCCCCTCTTGCTTCCCCCAACTCTTTTTTTGTTTCTCTTATCTTGGATAGAAAAGCAGATTCTAACTAAAAGGGCACTAGATCGATCTTCAAAAACACTCATCCTTTTCTTAGGGAATCTTGATTCATGTATATATTTTTTTAAAACAATTTGCAGGAGTATAGAGTTAAAGTGATGCTAGATAGGAACGTGTATCTAGTTGACGTTGTGAAAGAGAATATTGGGAGGGTCTTGAAGCTTGATTCAATAGAAGGAAGCAAGCTTTGGCAAGGGATTGATATGCTTATCTTCAACACATGGCACTGGTGGTCCCGTAGAGGACCCACTCAACCGTGAGTTTCTTAATTAAATGAATTATTATGGGGGCATCCAATCAAGTTTAAATAAAGTAATTTAAAAATTCTCTTTATAAGTTTAAAGAAATCAAGTTTCTCTTTGTTGTAATTTTGGTTATGAATGGTTTGTTAGATGGGATTATATCCAATTGGGAGGTCAAATCTTGAAAGACATGGATCGGATGAAGGCTTTTGAAGAAGCACTTAAGACATGGGGTGCATGGGTAGACACCAACGTTGACCCTAAGAAAGTGAAGGTCTTCTTTCAAGGAATTTCACCATCTCACTACAAGTAAGCAAACATAACCCATCCACTTCATCATTTATTATTCAAACATAAAAACTAGCAACAAAGTCATCAGAAGAAAGAGAATCTAACAATCCCATTTGCATGATGGAAAAAAAACAGAAGTATATATTATACGTATTAGCGATCATGATTGTTGGTATTTAGAACTTGAACTATCGGATCCAATCTAAAAGTTTACAAATATGATTACATTACAACATTTAATCTAATATCTAACTGCACAAACATTATCAAGTGTCAATTAATTATGAACCATTCTTGATCTAATCATATAATTTAGTCTTTATACACATTACAAATTCTCAATTTGATACTATGTGTGCAAATGTTGTTGATTTGTCCCTAACATAACATGTTGATGATCCATAACTTTTTTTACATATTCTTAACCGAGTATGAGTATATGTATATGTAACACATTCTACAAAATTTGTTGGGATGACAATGTTTCCATTTGAACACTGATTTCAGTGGCAGCCTATGGAATGAACCAAGTGCAAAGAGTTGCATCCGGCAGAAGACACCTGTGCCGGGATCGGTGTATCCGGGTGGACCGCCGGCGGCGGTGGCGGTGTTGAAGAGTGTGCTGAGCACAATCAAGAAACCAGTGACACTTCTTGACATCACAATGCTTTCTCTGCTTCGGAAAGATGGACACCCTTCCATTTATGGACTCACTGGAGCCTCTGGAATGGATTGCAGCCATTGGTGTCTTCCTGGGGTTCCAGATACTTGGAATGAGATACTTTACAACCTTATATGATCATTGCAAAATTATTTATTCATCATTGGGGGGTTTAGTCTATTTTTATAGAAAAATTTAATTATATAGAAAAAGATTAGGATTGGGTAATAGACACCCTGATTTAATTGGAATATATGGCTTGTGCCTAAAGTGAATAATGATAAAAGTTTACATCATACATCACTCGTATCTATCTATATATATATATTTTTTTCCAACAACCTTGTCCTTTTGTTTTGTTTCATTTGACTTTACTAAACTGATGGCAAACTTGATCAACAATTTGAGCCAAACTTTTAACGTATTCGGGCAGGGAACTTTTCTTTGCAAAATCGTGGGGAATGATGATTGCTAAATTTGGTTTTTAGAAAAAAAGGAACTTAATGCAATTAAAATTTGATGGCGTCGTATTAGTGTACTTCGTCGTTAGGGGGGAAAAAACGGATGGTCGATAATTTGGGTGTCTGAGAAATTTCATGGATTCTTTAACAACATTATAACGAAATAGATTTTAAATTAGGGATGACAAATTTTTTTTTTTACAATGAATAAAATCCACAATATATAATAAATGTATATTTAAATGAATACTTGTAGATAAGTTAAACGGACATATATTTGTATCCGTTAATAAATGAGGATGAAAATGAATATTAAGAAATTTATCCTATGAATATCCATTAAATATATGGTATAATAAAATTATTTAAATTTTTTTGTTAAAATATATAATGTGTTAAGTACAAATAAGATATCACTCAAGTTTCTTTTATTTAGACTTGTGAGATTTAAATGTTATAATTTTTTGACTTTTATTTTGATACTTTAAATTATTTTAGATTATTATATTTGTTTAAATTTATGTGATTCAAGAACTTTAATAATTAAATTAATTTTTTAAATTGAAGAATATTGATTAATAAAATTGTGTATAATATTTAAATAATTTAAGTTTTTAACTTTAAAATTATTATTTATAAAAAAATTATTAGAATAAATAGAAATTATTATTAAAATATTCTTAAAATTATTTACAATTTTTTTAATAACAAATACCTATAGATACTCACAAATTTTTAAAAATAATATACAAATATTTACTTATTCGTGAATATAAGAATAAGTATAAAGATGGGTAACAAAAAAACTACTATCATTTTTATACTTCAATTAATTTGAAATCATCTTAAAATTACATAATTATTTTAAACTAATGGCTAAATATTAAAATTATATTATTATTATTATTATTATATATTAAGAAAAATCAAGAAATAGCTTTTGTTAAAAAATAAATAAAAATTATTATTTTTTAAATAATACTTTTAAAATGTGATCCCATACAATAAGACCAATTCTATAATGATCTGGCAAGTCACGACACTAACTACTAAACAACTACTACATAGTGAAAAACTAACAACATGCATCACTAATAGAGTTTATAATACAACCAGGAACTAATATCAATATATCCATGCAATTACAAAATACAACACTGGTTGCAATATAAACTTAATGTCACTCAATGTTTATACAAAATCTGACTAGATGAGAGTAGTTCTCAACAACTAAACTAGTCATCTCCAGTGTGACTATCCTCCCACTTCACAAGTCATCTTGTTAATCATGTCTTACTCCCATATCAAATATGATCATCACAATTTTAACCACAAGAAAAATATAAGGTAAGCTAGTGAAAAAGAATTCAACATAACAAATTATTAAAACATCAACCCATTTACAACGTCTCAACTTAAAGCCATACAACATCATCATAGCAGCTTTACATCAGACAACATGTTCATCATTTTAAATAATTCAACTTTATAATAAGGCATCATCAACATAGCAACTTAACAATTTACAACATATTCATTGTATCAACTTATATACATATGAATCACCTAATGCATCGTCATGCATGTCAACGGTTAACATGGAGGCCAGAAACAACAGCTAACACAAAGCTAGAAACAACTACTAGCATAAGTTATATTGATTTTTTAGGTTTTACCACTTAAATAAGGAAGTATGATACTATATCATGATAGAATAATTTGGGTATAGGTCTACCACGACATTAGTTTGCAACACTAAGTTACTTAGGGGATTAACCCACCGACTATCCCCAAATATCACAACCCTCCAATACTAGGTTAGAGACTAATGTTCTAGACCCGATACTTTACTCGATTAGTCGCTTCATAGACGTGTGCTCCAACCTTGCCCACACATAGTTACCACATAGAACCTAGAGGAAACAACTAAAAAAAACTAACTTACCCATTTAGAGACCAACTTACCTACTGAAGGGGTTCAACCGGGCTCTCGAAGCACTGCAACATATATCCACACAATGGAATATTGAGTTTAAAACCATCTTTGACTCCCCTCTAGTTTATATGTATTGTAGCTAGTATATGTATCTAACCTACACACCTATAACTTATCAACTTAACAACTTTAACATCTTTCAACATTCAACTTATTAGCTTTAACAACATACAACTCATGCAATATTCAACTTTCAACTTTACAACATATCGACTTAAATAGCAGAAGCATCATACATCTTTTCAACATTTACAACTTCGTGGAACATCATCATCAAGAATTAGCTTAAGCAACTTAAACAACACATAACTTGACAACGTGATCAACTTACTACATATCATATTACAACATCACTATATAACTTAACCATCACTCATTAACTTTAAAACAACTTAACAACTAACTTTTCATCATATACATCTTGTGCTCGACACCACTCACTGGGCGCTCGACATTATTGAGGTAGGGAGTTTCCTATCCTATGTCTGGCGTCACATCACTCGTGCCCAGTGTAATTGAGGTAGAGAGTGCCCTACACTCCCACACCTAGTGTGACAACACCCATGCCCAACCCTAATTAAGCAAAGAGCTCTTTGCCTAACTCACACTCAACGTCAGACACTTTAGCAAACCCAGGCAAAGACTAGCCTTTCATCTCACGCCCCTACGCCATTCAATCCCTAGCTAACGTGATTCTAATTTGAGACGAGTCTCTCCCTTCATGTCAAGTGCCACCAATCATGTGCCCAACAAGAGTGAGACATAGGCCTCTCTTTTGGAACCACACGGGGTGCCTTCAAGGTATGCCCGACGCGATATTAGATTTTACATTTATGTAGAACTCGATTTTTCCTAATTCACTTAAAAATCATAAATTTTCCAACATGCAATCCACAATGCAACACATACACAACTTGTAAAACATATTTACACCATCAAAGCATCATGCAATTGAAAAATCAATCAAAGATCAACATGAACCTTCCTTAACACCCTTGAACCACAAAATCCATGAAAAACCCCTTTCAACTTCATCCTCAACTCATTACAAATCATCATAACCACATAATGCACTCTAAACTTGAAATCACTACTTTCCATACCTCTTGGAGACTCAAATCTGTATGAGGAAAAGATAAGGAACCCTATATGACACTAACTCAAACCCTCTGCCTTCACAAGTTCGGATTCCAACCCACAACCCACCTTAATTCAGCTAAGAAGAAAAGTAGAAAAAGAATTCAAGTGAAGAAGGAGAAAAAATAAAGGGAGAAGAAAGAAAAGGATCTCTCTCTACCTTCTCTCCAAAGTTCTTGAAAACTGAAATTATGAACTTCTTTATTGAAAATTTTCTTTTATGCCTTTCCTGAGTCGACTCCGCTTATCTTTAGTCAAACCCTCCAGAGATCAATGTGCTCTTAGGGTCTCTCAGTCCCATAACTCTCAACAATAGTTGTCAAATCAAATAATAGAATTATGAGATGATAATGTTACAAATCCAATACTATTGTTAGGCCTAAAGTAAATTTTAAAATGATACTTTTATAAATTAATAATAATATTTTTTAATAAAAAATAAACATGTTTTGGATATAGACTTTTAAAAAAATAAATATTTGTATATCTTTTAGAGATAGGTCTTTTAGAATGATTATTTTAAAAAACAAAAAGTGATTTTTGAGTTATAAATCTTGAAAAATATTATATAAATATTAATATAAAATAAGTTTATTTAAGAAAGTTCAAAGCAAGGATCTTGTTAGCCTTATACTTGGACCAAATGTGTATTAAATATA